CATCTACTCAGCACACATTTGAATGCCAGCCTGATGTCCCCATTTGTGCCAGGGCCAGGATCCTCTCTCCAGGAGCTCAGGGTACCAGTTGTAAATGTAGGCAGAGGGGTACACAGCATGTGATGGGAGCACTGACAAAGGATGTCTCAGTCACACCAGTGACACCAATCTCCTCCGTATCTTTCAGCTTTCCTTCTCCCTAGTAGCATATGGCTTAACTGTTTGCCACTTCACCCCTCAGGTTCCTTGGGTCTTTATAAGACACTTACCATTTGAACTTATATATGCCGATGGAGTCACCACATTTCCCAAGTAGACATAATGATCGTCTTTCTTCACAACTCTCCCCAATCTGAGAGCAGAGTGTGCATTCTATTTACAGTTTAGTTTTGGGAAATGATGAATTGTGACTTTGCCAATTCTAATTTTGTATACTGCTCATCAAACAACTTAACTCAAATATGGAAAGTAGGGGGGAGGGAGGGAGGAAGTGGAAAAGGGCATAGAGGGGATAAATGGTGATGGAAAAAATAAAATAAAATAAATATATGGAAGGTGTGCTAGGTGGAATACACCTCCTTGTCAGAACCCCATGCTTCAGAGTAGTTTGTGAGTTTGTTCCTCTCAATAGCGGTGTTCTCTCATCAGACCTTCCAGAACATGTTTTGTACAGTAGTTATACCTTCGTGTTCCTGGAATTTGTATTTTAAAGAAATTTTACTCTTAACGAACAAACAACTCAAACTGTTTATTCAAATCTAAGCACCATAGTGGATTAAGGTACATTCTCTTTGTAAATCTTGAATTACCTCACTAACAGAACAAATCTCCACAGCTGCACCTCTAAGAAATAGACTGCGGGTTGCATTTTCTTCACCTGGAGCAGATCTGAGAGATTATTGTCTGAAACTCCCGTGAAGAAGGGCAGCTATTGTCCAAAGCAGACAACACTCCTCTGTGTCCTTCTCCCAGTGAGACCTTGAGTCTGTTTCTGAAGTCTGCGAAGAGGTATCAGCTTCGGTGGAGAATGTGTACCTAGCCTTTTCCTTCCTGTTGAATATGAGTTTATTCTGATAGAAATGATACAAACATGGTAAACAGAAACACTAGGGAGGGCCTCTGCTACCTGCCAAGCTCCTTAATGGAAGTGACCTCATGTGGAAGCCAACGGGGCTGCTTCTCTCCACTAGCCAAACATGCCCCGGAGGGAAGGCGCATTTCAATCCGGGTGTGCTGAGGACAATGCACTGGGTCTCTTCTCCAAGATAGCCAGGTCTCCGGCTGGCTTATACCTGAAGAGCAGTAGGGTGAATGGAAACTTGAGGTCGTGTTCCTGAATCCACAGAGGTCCAGCTGTGGGGCAGAGGGCAGGCTGACCTAGGCCTAAATACTTCAAACCAACAAATATAAACCAGACTTGCATCATTTGGCTTCCAGTGGAAAAATGTGCTTCCCTCTATTGGCATAAACTGAAAAGGAAGAAGAGATCTCTGAGCTCTATTTAGGGGGAAGGCATTCAGTCTAGCTTTCCTCCCTCCTCCCCATGTGAGCTAAATTCTGCTAATAGTACCCAGGAGCATGCAGTAAGAATGACAAAGGGCTATTATACACCCTTGAGACAGATGGCATAACCACAGACTTAGTAGAAATGCAATGAGATCACATGGATAAATGACATGGTGGGTTCGAATGGTGATGAAGCAAAAATAAAAACTGAAGAACACCAAAGAAAACCAGTGAATCTGTTGCCCATCCAGAATAGTTTCATCCTCTTAGCTGGGTTTTTCATAAAGCTAGGACTCATCAGACTTAAGCATAAGCTCAAAATGTGCTCAATATATTTTTGTATTAACCATAACATACTTAAATGCTATAAGAAAAGATTATCTGAATTATACAAATATAAACTATACCTTCACACAAAACAAAGTAGTAGTATTTTTATAGCTAATGATGATACAAGTGTGGGATAAAGAAGTTGACAGTATGATGAATATGAACCCTACAAAAACTTAAGAAAGTAAACTCCAGCCATCAAATGTTTACACCAATGTGCCAAAATCCTGCTATAAAATAAAACTAAAAAGGGGGTCATGCCTACTGGTATAGTATAGCTGTCTTTTTGGCAAAGACTAATAAAAATGCACATCAAAAATTAAGAGGGATATATTTTGAATAAAAACACTAGAAGAAATTTTGAAACAGAGAAAAACAGAAGCAAAACTACTGAACTTTCGTCCCCTATGCTGGCTTGAGATACTCAGCAGTATGATTCACGGACCTGGGCTTCGGCCCTGTCTTAATAATAATTCAGGAGGCAGTAATGTTAGACACCTGGGATGCCCCTCGAGACCTCTAGTTCAACAGCTTGGTCAGCAGGATAGGCAGTTAACAGGAAGGACCCATACTCAAGGAACTTTCCACCCCAGGTTTCCTACTATTTGCAAGAGAGCAACAGGAACACAGGCTGGGAGAGGTCAAGAGGCAGGACAGCACCAAGACTAGGACAGTAGGTAACAAAGTCATCACACATGATTTGGTATCACTCTGTCCTGCTTCACAGCTGGGGAAACCAAGGCACCAGGAGATTATGTGGTGAACTCAAATGGACCCGTCTCCTCCCCAGTGATGTTAACATGTGAGACAACTGTATATCATTTTCTTTGTGTATTAACTTCATGGGTATACTCCTGTGGGGCTCTCTTCTCTTACGGGCCTTAACAATTCAGATCATGATGAAAAATTGGTTAACACCCTAAGCACTAAGAACCTGCCAGCCCCACGATAGTATACAATTCATGAATTAACAAAATGTACCGTCCTTTATAAAAGCTACTAAAATTTAGGCAATCCAAAGGTCCATTTTGAAGATTTCGTTCTATCCAGATTTAGAAAATATGGGCGGTTGAGTCTCTCACTAAGGCCACAATGGGTGCGGATGGTGCCTAAGTGGATGACATTGCACAGGGCATGCATGTAGCTGATCCTGCTGCAGCAGAGCTCAAGGTATTGGCTGGCTGCCGCATGGCGCCAGAACTCTCCTCCATTGTGTCTCACTTACGGTCCCCACGGCCGCTCGAGGTCTGCTCCTCTCTGCACGAGGACTGGGATTGCTTCATGGTGCCTATTGATCACAGCCACGGTAATAACGGGTCGGTCTTCATTGTCACTGCAGTTGGGATCTGCTCCCTGCAGCACATGGAAAAGGACAAGCCTGCCACAAAACCCTGCACTCAGGAGCATCTAATCGCCTAATCGCCTTCTTAGTCACTAACAAACATCCTTAATGGAACTAAATGGCTTTAAATCCACAGAGAAGGGAATCAGGAACCCCGAGACCCAACAAAGAACAGACAGAGCTGCCATGTCACTCGGGTGGTAAAACTTCTGTTTCCACATCGGGAGGAGTAGGCACCCAGACAACCTTGCTTCTTTAGGAAACATGACGGTCACATGGGATCTCACAGACCAGGGATTCTGTCCACCTTCATGCACGTTATTTGGGCTCATATGCACTTTTCTGCCTATTTCCTTTGTCATAAAAACTAGCAAGAGGTAACAACAATTCATGTAAAGCTTTGGACTCGCCATTTAATCCATTCCCAGCATTAAAAAATTTAACTGGCCCTGTGATAGTCACAACATTGGACAGAACTTCCATCTGAAAGAGACAGAGATGAAACACAGGCTGGAACCCCCAGGGAGACTTGATCTTCGGTTGCACTTACTTCATCAAGCAACTGTTCAATCACAGAGACTCTTCCTTCCCCTGTCGGTCCGACTTCCTTCAGCAGGAGCCTGTTTTCGGGCTGCAGCATTACAGAATGTGGTCATTTCCACCGCCACAAAATACTTTTACTGTCAAGTCCCTCTTACCCAGGCTCAACCCTCGAGGTAAATGTTTCCTCTCCAGGGTTAAGTTCTGAGCCCCAGGGACAGGGGAGCATGAGCAGAGCGTGTGTGTGTGTGTGTGTGTGTGTGTGTGTGTGTGTGTGTGTGTGTATGTGGTCTCCAACAGCCAGCAGCACTGAAAAAACCCACCTAATGTACATTTTCCTGGTCTTTGAAACACTGCCTTGATGAAGGACACCACACTCACATTGTTTTACATTATTAAAGACAGGGATGCAAGGAGAAATCTTACCAAAACCAAGAAACACCACACTAGTTTTATTATGACTATTTCTAGGAGAAGCAACCAGGAGAATCCTAAAATTTACTTTGCATGCTGGTATAAAGTGCTCAAAGTCAGCCTAAGTATGACAGTTCACAATACATGCTCACCTGAGGTGTGAGTGAACCAATAAAGTCAACCTCTTGCTTGGGGGGAAAATAACCTCCCATCTACCTATCATCAGAAATCTGAAGATTTTATTATCATTATAGTTTCAAAATGCAGTGAAATTTATCTTTATATCATCTTTCCTTATGGAGAAAGGAGCGCAAATGCTGGCTACTGGAAGACTAAAGGAAGCAGTCTAGAAAGCAGGAGACATTACCTCTAGTAGGTTTCTGCCACTGGATCCCACCCAGGGGTGACTATGGGATAGTTCCAGGACCACCATTTCCCGGTTTATAAAGCGGAAGTAATACCACCCCTCCCTGGCTCCCTGGAAGCCACGGGGATGAGGGCACTGGCCAGGGCCTCTGAGCCTTTGGAAGAAGATGCAAGGTTCACCCTGTGTCCTCCCAGTGAGCAGCTCAGAACAAGGTGCTCTAATCCATCGGAGGGTGGGGGCAGTTGTTTATACTGAATTCCATTCCTTATGGGAAAAATGTACTAGAATGTCAACTTCATGAGGTCTGAGACCTTTATGGCTTTTGTTTATTTTCAACACCTAGAACTGCACCTAGAATAGATGTGCTCAAAAGTAATCACTGGATGAATGAACAGATGGTATAGCTTCTGTCACTTGTCCCCTAAATGAGAATGAGAAGATAAAGGCACATAACACTGGGGGATTCAGATCATGTACAGAATAACTGGGTAGAATTTCCAAAATGGTAAAATTGTTATGAAGTTTATGGAATCTATACTTCTCTTATACTTTCTGACAATATTTCAAACTGGGAAAAGGTAGAGTACAAGGAATCATAAACAATTAAGTTTACAACAATTCTCAGGTATTCTTCCCAAATTTATTAGTGTTTATGACACAAGATGAAGAGCAGAGTCCCTGCCTCCAGAGGAATCACAATGCAAGCTAGGCGGCGGTTTGTGCGTCCTGAGGACCCTGCGGGCCTGGCTTAACTGAAAGCTGGAGGGCGTGACTGACACTGTGTCCATCCCTACTGCCAGCTGGAGACCCAGGCTCTGGGCTTGTTGCCAAGTACCTCTGTTCTCTGCTGCAGCCAGAGGACTGACTACAAGGTGAGGTGGTGGACAGAGCAAGGACACCCACTGTCTCTTTCTGCAAAGCTCCCGCTGAAATTATTTAAACTCTACCAGCTGTGGAAACTCTGAAAGGATGCCATCAGTGGATCAGAAATGGTGAGGAATCCAGAGATTGAAAGTTGATGGGATCTGACTGACAAGGAAATCTAACCAAAGAAAAAACCCGGGTGAAAACCAGGGTGAGTGTGCTTTCTTCAGGGAGCCCTGCGGATGCTCAAAGTTAATCAACAAGGAGGGTGGAAGCTGAGTGCTGGGCCGCATCATGAGTGTGTCATTAGAGGGCGTTATTGTAAGTAGCTGAGATGGCTGGTGTCCTCCTCTCCAATGCAAGGACAGGAGGCTTTTGCTCTCTGCTTAAACCCTGATAGCTATTTTCCAGAGAGTTCATGATTTGCCTCACAGGTACCTCCTGGGAGCACTGGGGCCCGAGAAGGGCAGAGCCCCAACCTCTATGACAGACATAGGGAAGGGTCTGGAAGACAGCTCATACCGGAGTACTTCGCAGCACCACCCTCACCACCAGAGGAAAGGCCTTCTTGTACTTTCTCCTGCCCCTGCCCACAACCCTCCAGGGAAGCCTGCCCCAAGTATGCCCATCCACCCACACAGAGACTCCAGACCCACCCATGCTGGGCACCCATGCCAGGTGCTTGTGAGAATCAAACTAGCTCTTCATTTGTTAATGTGACCAGACAACCAAGGATCATCACATTTGAGACAAACCAAAAATAAGAACGAGAAAGATGGGCACACAGAACTGACACCAGAGGAAGCAGAGGTGATTCAGGACACTGATGAGAATTTTTAAATAATTCTAATTAATCATCTTGAGATATTTTAAAGGATTCCAAAAAATCAATACAAACTGTCATGAAAAAAGGAACAAAAAATGAAAAAAAAAATTCTTCCATTAAACAAAAAATCTCAAAATAAAACATTAAGTAGACAGGCCAAAGAAGACATCTGTTAAGGACCAAGGGATACACATACTGTAAGCTGCTCCTTCCTTTCTTGAAATGTTCTGGTCTTGAAAGTCTTCGTCCTCTTGATTTTTTCAGTGGTATCTGAGGTGCTGTGGCAGTAGTCGCTCACTGGAATGACAAAGAGTTGTGGACCAAAATGATGCCCCCTCAGCCTCTCCCTACAGATATAGAACTAGAGTCTAGTGCCATGCCCCTCAAGAGGATAAAATAGACTTTATAGAAATTTCTGTTTGATTAAATCTGGTACGAAGGATTCCGGTAGCCATTCATCTCAGTCCAGGACCTGAGAGGATGGGGGTGGGGTGGAGGAGAAGAATAGAAATGACTATAGTTTTTAGTCCCCAAAGAGCACTCCACCCCTGTTTATCTCCCTAAGCCTGTAAAAGACTTCAAAAGTCTCACCCCTGCCTTCAGGGAAGCCAGAGAAATAAAATGGCTGGAACATGAAAGTAAGACATATGGTTGGGCTGGCAAATTTTAAGCAATTCTGCCATCCTTGCCAAGTCAGTGTGTTTCTGGTCAATGGCTTTAAAATCAATGGGAGGACCCTAGCTGGTTTGGCTCAGTGGATAGAGTGTTGGCCTGCAGACTGAAGGGGCCCTGGTTTGATTCCGGTCAAGGGCACATGCTCGGGTTGCGGGCTCAATCCCCAGTAGGGGGCATGCAGAAAGCAGGCAATTAATGATTCTCTCTCATCATTGATGTTTCTATCTCTCTCTCCCTCTCCCTTCCTCTCTGAAATCAATAAAATATATTTATAAAACCTATATAATAAAAGCCTAATATGCTAAGTGTCCAGTCGGCCAGTCGGCCATTCAACTAATCAAAGCGTAATATGCTAATGATATGCTAAAACCACTCAACCACTCACTATGACATGCACTGACAGTAGGTTAGCTTGCTGCTGGGGTCCGGCGGATTGGAACTGGGTGAGATGGGCTGGACATGCCCGAGAGCCCTCCCGCGGTCCCTCTCTGGCTGGCCAACCTCCCGCATCCCTCCCTGGCCCCGATCATGCACTGGTGGGGTCCTTTGGCCTGGCCTACACCCTCTTGCAATCCAAGCTAAGGGACCCCCCCCTCCAGTGTACGAATTTGGTGCACCGGGCCTCTAGTAAATAAATGAATAGTATCTACTGTACCAATGTTAATAGTAATGTACTTATAAAAAAAATAATAAAATAAAATCAATGGAAGGGCACAACTTACCCAAGCTATACCTGCTGCCAAATATCCCGTGACCACCCTCGGTGACAGTGCTCAGGAAGTGGTCGCTGAAATTCATCGCCTTACTCAGGTAAAAGTTCTGGCCAATAAAAAAATGCAAGCACCGTGATGATAAGGCTGCTGTGTCCTAACACCTCCCTGCCAACCTGTTCCTCTTTCTGTTAATGACAACTCTGTCCACACCTGGACATCCTTCCTACAACTCCCTCACACCCAGGATGTTCTGTTCATTCAGCCTCTTAAACAGGTCCTCAGTCTGGCCCCTCCTCTCGGTCATTACAGCCTCACACCGGTGGATTATCACAATAGCCTCCCAACAAGTTCCTGCCAGCCCACCTTCCATGTGGCTGCCCACTCACCCTTTTTATAAGTAACCATGTCCTGACTCTGCTTAAAACCTTTCTGTGTCTTGGAATTAGGTGGCAGGGTGGGGAGGCTTAGGCTGTAGAATTTAAATCCTGGTTCTGTCACTTACTAGATTAGGGATCTTAGAAGAAGCAAGTTGCTTAACTTCTCTGAGCCTTTCAGTTCCCTCACCCACAAAGTGGAAATATTATGACCTGCCTCAAAGGGATGTTGTGAAAGTAAAATGAGGTGAAACAGATGTTTATAAAATGAGGATAGATAATACATAGGCCAGGCTTGAAATCCTGTATCCATCCTACCCTCACGTGGCTGCCGGCTCCTGCCATAGGGAATCGCCTGCTACTTTCTGAACACAAAGTGCAGGCTAAGAAAAAACAGTGAGCCTGGGCATATTTACTCCCCTTCTACTTGATAGATAGCATGTTGTAGATGCTATTGGTGCCAACCCAGTTCCCCCTAACTGGTCAGCTGCTGTGTTGGTTGCTAACAGCTCACAGCTGACCCCCTTCTCCTGCCCTCAGTAGTTGGGTGCTGCCTTACTGTAGAAGTTATGCCCCGCCCCTCCCTGCCTCAACTGGGGACAACTGTGTGGTGTCATTCACAATCCAGAGCTCCTCGTGGATCCAGCTAAAGCCAGACATTACTTGTGACCACTTGCTCATTTAGCTCCTTCCCCTGCCTTGTCCCAAGTCCTTCACTCCCCTTCTCCTGAAATACCTCCCTGACCTAAGCTCTGCTCTGGCCACACCAGAAACATGGCATTTAGTGCTTTACTTGGTTTCACAGCACTTTCATATGCCTTATCCCTTGGATATGCCCAGCCTCCCTGTGAGGTAGGCAGGGCCCATGAATCTATCTTAATTTTAAAGACATTGTTAACACCCTGCTGGGGATGGCCAGAACCTAATAAATAGGAGTTCCTCTCCTTTTCCTTGCCTTCTTTACCCATCTTCTCAATCCACCAATTCTTCTTTTGTATATTTTGACTTCTTGTCCAATGACATTTAAAGTTGCCAATATCACTTACACACGTACAGGCTCTGTGGCAATGCCCCAGTCACCATATAAGAGGGCAGATCAAAGGAGACATGGCCACAGCGGTTGGTTTCTTTTTTATAGGCAAACAGGTCATAGTACATGTCAGCAAACAGTTTTGTCAGTCTTTTCCCAAAGCAGTTGTATCACAGACCTGCCATCAGATGTCAGTGAATAGAAATAAGGCTGAAAATCACAGGCCCAATCGGGTGGGTGACAATTCCTGTTCTCACTGTATCACTATGTGCCCGAAAGCTGGCTTCTCTCAAGCTTAGCTCGGTTATTTATCTAATTCCATGAAAGTGTTGGCCTAATTCAAGTTCCATAATATTTGAAACTTTTCCTTTCTATGAATTACACAGAAACACTTCAATAAATCATAAGCCATAATTTACTAGTTCAGTCAATTCCCCAATAAATAACTTCTGAAGGTTTCACTCACCTTGTTTGAGACTTGAACATAATTCAGCCTGATACTAACTTCATAGCCATCTTCATGGACAGTAGCAGAAAGAAGCTTTTAAAAAAAGAATTAGAGAGGAGTCACAACTGTGGGTATGGAACTCAGTGCCCTGAGCTACAACGAAGAAATTCATGTTAAACTGTAAATTCAATCAAATATTTAATTACTACAAAATAAGGCAAAAAAGATAAACAGAAAAAAAAACTAGATACTATAGAACACAAATAGCAAAATTGCAGACACAAAACTAGCCATATTTATAATTTCATTAATTATAAGTGAACTAAATAAATACTCCAATTAAAGAGCAGAGACTGCCAGAATGGATAAGGAAGCAAGATCCAAATTTACACAAGAGACATGCTTTAAGTTTAATCAAGCCCTATGGTTGGATGCCACCACCTTGGAAAAGGTGTCCTGGGGGCCAGGTCTTGGCAATCAAAGGCAATGATTATAGTTAAGCAGCTTTCTCTGTAAGCAGTGGGAGGGATTTAGATCAAACCAGAGATCAGCAAATGCTTTAAGGATCATATGGTAAATGTTTTAGGTTTTGTGGGCCATAGAGTGCTTGTCATGAATACTCAGCATTGCCATTGTAACACAAAAGCAGCTACAGAAAATAAGTAAATGAATGAGTATAGCTGTGATTCGATAAAACTTTATAAAATTGGATGGCAGGCCAGAATTGTCCCACAGGCCATAGTTTGCAGACCACTGGATTAGGCCAAAAAAACTAACAAACCATCAAAATAGATGATCAAAGGAAATTGAGCAATACTTGACCATGAAATAGTTTCAATGTTGGACTTTCAGTGGCAGAGGAGCAGACAGGTTGATTTTCAAAGGTTCCTCTAGTCTCGTGACAGAGGAACAGGTCTTCTTACAAGGTGTCTCTTTACAACAGCAGATAAAGGGCATGGTGTTTGGGGCCTGACAGACCTGCTTCAAAGCCTGAATCCCTCCGAGACCTAGCAGTGCGGTCCTAGGGAAGTCACCAAACCTCTCTGAGCCAGCGTCCCTGGGTGTCAGGTAGGTTTTGTTCTGATTATCTACTGCAGTGTAAAAAATCCCAGACTCAGTTGCATCAAACAACTCCCATTTTTATATGTTCATGGATTCCAATGGGGCCCAGCAGCAATGGCTTGTTTTTGTTCTATACATCTGAGGTCTCAGCTGCAAAGACTCACATGGCTAGAGGTGGCTTCATGTTTGGGAACTGGAATGACCTAAAGTCTCATCACTCACTGCCTGGCTCCTGAGCTGGGATGACTCGAGGACTGAATTCATCTGGAGCTGCAGACGGGTGCACCTAATGTGGCCACGCCATGGGCTTGGGCTTCTCACAGCAGGATGGCTGGGCTTCAAGGAGTTGTGAGATGAGCATGCCAAGCGAGAGGAAGCCATGTGCCTACATGACCACACCTTGGGACTCCCAGAGCATCATTTCTGACATACCCTTGTCCAACAGTCACAAGCCCACCAGACTCAAGGTGAGGAGATATAGATTCCATCTTCTAAAGGGAAGACTGTCGAAGAATCTGTGGCCATGTTTTAAAAACTGCCACAGTGGTAATACTCCTACCTTGAAAGTTTGTTTTGAGGACTAGAGATGATAAACATGATACAGATATTGTTATATAGTTAAATCTCATAATTACTATTGATAATATAGTGTAGGGTTTAAGAAGACAATTTGGCTGGATTAAACTATTCTGGGTCATTTGGCTCTGACCATCAGGATTTCCACAGCATGTGGCATCTAAAAGCATGAGATGCTCACAATTTACTGTCTTAGGTCAGGTGCCCAGGAGCAGACCCTAGGACAAGACTCATGTGCAGGTGATTTATAAAGGCAGTGCCTGCAGGGGAGGATAGTAAGGAAATGTAGAAAGCAGGACAGCAAAGGGAAAGGAGCCAAGCAAAGTACAATTTCAGGTGAAGTTGGCGGAGGGTACTTCAGCCTGATCCCGTAGGACACTGTGAGGTGGAAGTTCCATTCAGAGTCTACTCACTTTTCCCATCCTGGGTTCTGCAATCAAGGCCCGGAATTCAGAGTTGTTCTGAGTATAAGCCCTGAGGTGAGCAGAGATGTGATCCAACTGTTTTCTCCAGTATCCTAAAGAAGAGGAGAAACCCATCCACATGGTTAATTCTTCTGAGGCTAAGAAAGAAAATGCTGATGTGGATCATGTATTCTCAGAAAGGTTGTTTTCATTTGCCAAACTTTGTGATGGTTTTTGCTTACTTGAACCTCAGCTATGTACTATAAGTTCCATTTTTGTTCCCAGCTTCTTTTTACACATGATTAATTATAGAATATTCTAGAACAGTGGTTCTCAACCTTCTGGCCCTTTAAATACAGTTCCTCACGTTGTGACCCAACCATATTTTCGTTGCTACTTCATAACCCTTCTGGCCCTTTAAATACAGTTCCTCATGTTGTGACCCAACCATAAAATTATTTTCGTTGCTACTTCATTAACTGTAATGTTGCTCTGTTATGAATCGTAATGTAAATATCTGATATGCAGGATGGTCTTAGGGGACCCCTGTGAAAGGGTCATTCGACCGCCAAAGGGGTCGCGACCCATAGGTTGAGAACCGCTGTCCTAGAATCTCAAAAGAACATATTTTGATTGTTGCACATTAGGTCTTTTTCTTTTATTCTTTTAAAATTATGTTTAAATTAACCATATTGAGATATAACATTAGTAAAATGCACCTACTTATATTAAATGTACAATTTGAGCCCTGGCCAGGTGGCTCAGTTGGTTGGAGCTTCATTCTATACACCAAAGGGTTGCAGGTTTGATTTCTAGTGAGGGCACATATCTAGGTTGCAGGTTTAATCCCTAGTGGGGTTCGTACAGCGGGCAAGCGATCAGTGTTTCTCTCTCTCTCCCTCTCTCCCTCTCTCTCTCTTTTCCCTTCCTCTCTCTCTAACAACAAATCCTGGGTGAGTATTAACATACATACATATATATATATATTTATATAACCTGTATATAAAATTTACAATTGGAGCTTTGGCAAATGTATACATCCCCATCAATATGTTGAACACTTGAACATCTCAATTACAAAAGACAAGCAACCAAATTTAAAAATGGAAAAATGATCTGAATAGACATTTCTCCAGAGAAAAAATATAATGGCCAATAAGCACATGAAAAGACAATATCATTAGTCATCAGGGAAATATTAATTAAAAGCACAATGAGGGACCACGTCATACCTACAAGGATGGCGACAATGAAAATATAGTAAGTGTTGGCAAAGATGTGAGAAATCAGAACCCTCATACGATGCTGGGCAGAATGTAAAATAGTGCAGCCACTTTGGAAAGCAGTATGGAAATGTTAAACATAATTTTATCATTTGGCCCAGCAATTGCACTCCTATGTATATACCCAAGAGAAATGAAAACATGTCCACAGAAAAACTTATACATAAATGTTCACAGCAGTATTATTCATAATAACCAAAAGGTGAACAAAACTCAAATGTCCATCAACTGATAAATGAATCTACAAAATGTCATAAATCCTTATAATAGATTATTATTCAGCTATAAAAAAGAATGAAAACCTAAAACATGCCAAAATATGGATGAGCCTTGAAAACATTACACTAGGTGAAAGAAGTCAGTCACAAAAGACCATATATGCTTCCCATTTATATAAAATGTCCAGAAGAGATAAAAGCACAAAAAGTGGATTCATAGTTGCCAAGCACTTGGGAGAGGAGATGTGGGAAGTGACCGCTTAAAGAGAATAGGGTTGAGAGAAAGCAAGATGGCGGCATAGGTAAACACCGGAAATTGCTGCCTCGCACAACCACTTCAAAAATACAACTAAAAGACAAAACGGACATCATCCAGAACCACAGGAAGGCTGGCTGAGTGGAAATTCTACAACTAGAAGGAAAGAGAAAAGCACACTGAGACTCAGAGGAGGTGCGGAAGTAAAGTGCAGAGGTACAGAGGAGGCATGCGCGTGGAAAGGGCTGGCAACTGAGGACGCGGTTGTCTTTTTCAATCGGGAGGGAGACACACGCTCCCGCTCTGAACTCCAGTTCCAGGCTAGTCTCTGGGGACCCAGACTCATATGGGGAGAAACTGGACTGTCTGGCATCGGTCGGAACTCGAGGGCAGCTTTCTCTGAGAGGTACTTGCAGCAATTACCGCAGGGCACTGAGACCAGCCAGGGCCTCTTAGGGCAGGACTGAGGATCAGCCATAGCTGTTTGCTCTGCCCTGTTAATTCCCTGAGACCCCGCCCCACCCAAGCTGTGCGCATAGGCTTTTGCATGAACTTCCAAGAGAAGGCCCAAGGCCCCACAGCAGCTTGCATTGCTTCTCAGCTGGGCCTCATCTGGGCACCCCCAAACCCCCAAAAAAGGAAGGGGAATCTGCATATCTCTTCATAGCTCCTGCTGGGTAACCTCAGGAAGAGGCTTAATTAGCACCTCCTTAGATCCAAGAGCCAGTGTACCCAGTGGTCAGAGTGGGACCACCCAGATTACAACTCCTCAGATTCATAAGGAACACACTCAGGGGGCAGACTCAGTGAGCACCAAAGCCCCACTGAAGCAAGTCTTGCCCCAGAAGGGTGTCTTCAGCACAGAAGTTCTCCCACTGCAGACACAGCTGATTCTCACTGCCAATTGGCCTGGAGGTCAATTCCTCCCAGTGACACCTAAAACAATCAAGGCATAACTACAACAAGACTGTGCACAAAGCCCACAAGGGGGTGCACCAAGAGTGTCCACCTCAGGTAACTGGGGAGGCTGAGCCACTGGGCCCTGTAGGACACCTAGCACACAAAACCACTCTACCAACACAGGGAAGCAGACAAAATGCGAAGACAAAGAAACAGGTCACAAATGACAGAAATGGAGGACAGCAAACGACTGGATATAGAGTTCAAAACCACGGTTCTAAGATTTTTCAAGAATTTTATGGAAACCGCCGATAAATGTATTGAGATCCTTAAGAAATCTAGTGAGACCCTCGATGTTGTGATAAAGGACCAACTAGAAATTAAGCATACACTGACTGAAATAAAGAATATTATACAGACTCCCAACAGCAGACCAGAGGATCGCAAGAATCAAGTCAAAGATTTGAAATACGAAGAAGCAAAAAACACCCAACCGGAAAAGCAAAATGAAAAAAGAATCCAAAAATACGAAGATAGTGTAAGGAGCCTCTGGGACAACTTCAAGCGTACCAACATCAGAATTATAGGGGTACCAGAAGAAGAGAGAGGGCAAGATATTGAAAACCTATTTGAAGAAATAATGACAGAAAACTTCCCCTACCTGGTGAAAGAAATAGACTTCCAAGTCCAGGAAGTGCAGAGAACCCCAAACAAAAGGAATCCAAAGAGGACCACACCAAGACACATCATAATTAAAATGCCAAGAGCAAAAGACAAAGAGAGAATCTTAAAAGCAGCAAGAGAAAAAAAGTCAGTTACCTATAAGGGAGTACCCATACGACTGTCAGCTGATTTCTCAACAGAAACTTTGCAGGCCAGAAGGGAGTGGCAAGAAATATTCAAAGTGATGAATAGCAAGAACCTACAACCAAGATTACTTTATCCAGCAAAGCTATCATTCAGAATTGAAGGTCAGATAAAGAGCTTCACAGATAAGAAAAAGCTAAAGGAGTTCATCACCACCAAACCAGTATTATATGAAATGCTGAAAGGTATCCTTTAAGAAGAGGAAGAAGAAGAAAAAGGTAAAGATAAAAATTATGAACAACAAATACATATCTATCAACAAGTGAATCTAAAAATCAAGTGAATAAAAAATCTGATGAACAGAATAAACTGGTGAATATAATAGAATCAGGGGCATAGAAAGGGAGTGGACTGACAATTCTCAGGGGGAAAGGGGTGTGGGGGGTGCAGGAAGAGACTGGACAAAAATCGTACACCTATGGATGAGGACAGTGGGGGGGGGCGGTAAGGGCAGAGCGTGGGGTGGGAACCAGGTAGAGGGGAGCTATGGGGGGAAAAAGAGGAACAACTGTAATAATCTGAACAATAAAGATTTAGTTTAAAAAAAAAGAGAATAGGGTTTACTTTGGCATGATAAAAAGTTCTGGACATAGAGTGGTGACGGTTGTATAATATTACTAATGTACTAAAGGTTGCTGAATTGTACACTTTAAAATGGTTAAGAGGGTGAATTTTTATGTCAATGTTACCACAATAACATAAAGAGATAATAGCAAACAGCAATAACAACACAGGTTAACATTTCTGCCATATAGTAGAAGTCCATGTGTGCTATTTAATTTACAAACTAGAAGAGGGGACTGTGAGTCAAAACATCACTACTAAAAGTTAAAGGAAGAGCAGTTTAATTCCAATGAAAATTCCTTTAAAAAAGTAAAATAAAGGAACTTATTTCTTATATATAAAAATAAATCTAAAGGAAGAAAAATAGAGATTTTCTTTCAAAGAAAGAGTGAGTTCCCTCCTGACAAGAAAGCATATTTTTATCCTCACCTCTTCCTGGGCTGACGGCTGTAAGGAGAGGCTTATGGTCACTCATTTTCTCCTGCCTCTGCTGATGAGAAGCCATTTCCAGTTCCTTTTTTGCTAGCAGGTTGCCAGATGGGTAGAACAGGCCAGTGGTCTGTGTACCTACATTCTTCTTAGTCCCATCATGTTTGGGTAAAGGAACATTCAGGGACTGCCAGGCAGATCGGGACTACAAGTGAGGCAGAAACATAAAATATTATAATTTTATTAATCCTTCATATTACCCTCGGAAAACAATTGTAATCAGAAGTAAAAGTATCTCAAAAAACAACAACAAGTGTATTTTAACACCGACCCTAAAAGAGGGTTTTCAGCCCTTGCCTCATCTTCCTTGCTTCTGTTTTCCCAGCAACTCCTAGCCCCATCCCCTTAGCCATTTACTGTCTCAAATTCAGCAAATCCACTGATGTTACCTGTCCTGCCTGAGGCCTGGAAGATACCTATCTTCCCAGCCCTACACTCCATTAAAGCACAGACTTTACTATCCATCCACACACAACCTCTGGGCACCAATATTTCCTGTGAAATAGTCCCCTACGTCTGGACCTGAGGACATAAGAGAAGCAACATGTAAGGTTATCTAGGTTGTGCACTGCATCTAAAAGGGTACTATTCACATAGTGGACATGATATATTTGCATATTTATTAGGATAATTTTTATGGTGGATAGAAAATGTCTTTCTAACAAAATTAGTATATTATAATCAATTTCCAACAGATGGCACTCAAGTGTCTTCAGGAAAGGTCACATTTGCACAAAGGTGCCATGTAGACTATTGGCAGTCCCAGGATATACAACCCAATTTGGATTAAGAAGGCTATGAATTTCCTAAAAATGAACACAAAGTTACTAAGTGCATGTGCATTCTCTCTAATAATTATTAATTCTTCTAATGAAGAGATAAGAAGAAACCTGAAGTACTCATATAGTTTATAGAGAAATTCATGAAAGGCTAACATAAAGCTGGTGAGTGTTTAAGTCCTTCTGAAAATAACCTTGTGAACTTTTCCTCAAACCATGTCCAGTTTTTATAAATGGAAAAAGCAATTTTATATACCTGATCTAAGTTTCTAAAATATAAAAGAGCCTTGGGGAAAGTTCTTCGTGTGCTACATAAGACATTCAAGAGAAGTACTTCCTCTCTCATATATTTTAAATCCACTTCTCCTAAAAGATATTATATCTATTGCCTTGCAAATGCAATTACACTTCAATCTATTGTAAATAAATGATAGATATTTGATTTCTGAAGAAATCACTCGAGTGTTTAAAACCCAAATTAATTAATTTTATTTCCACACCTAGTTGAAAAATCCATGTGAAAGGCCTAAATGTTTTGGCTCTCTTTCCCTGGGTTCATTCATAGAGGAGAGCACACAAATTCACTTACAACCTCTTCCCAGGCACCAGTTCTTACAGTGGAGGCCTCACCTCAGCAAAAGGGCCCGGTTCTCCAGCAGCTAGAGCCCGGCTGTTGTCCACACTAAGTTTTGCCAAGGACTTCAGGTAAATACCACAGGAGCCACAGAATCGGGCAGATGGGTGATTGTTGGCCCCACATTTGAGGCAAACAGAGAAGCAGGTAGCAATGACAGGCTAGAGGACAGAAAATATTTTTATAATTTCATTTATATTAGGGTCATACCTTTCTCATATAAATTATTTCCATACCAGTCATCAAAATAACACATGCCCATACCCTCCATCCTTGCAATTCTACCTTTTAGAATAACTGTGTATTTTACCCTATGGATGGACAAGTACACAAAGAAGTGTATTCAAGACCATTCCCTGAAGGATTGTGATTTTAGAGAAAATAACTGGAAACAACCTAAATGTCCAGCAATAGAGGATGGCCTAACTATATCATGGTACATACAGACAGTGGAATATTATGAAACTGCTGAAAAGAATGAGGAGGTTACTAACTAGATGTATTGCTAGGTGCAATATATCTAAACTACCACCAGTTTACTTACTAATGCATTGAATGGCTGAAAGAACAGCTCACATACTGGGTAACAAAGATTGCTTCTAGGGAGAGGAGCTGTGGGACAGGGATGAGAAGAAAGACTAACCCTTCACTAAATCTTTTGTATTATTTACATAAAACACTCAGATAAATAATTTTGAGTGCTTTATTTAAAAGGTAAGCAGACAATTCATAAAAGAAAAAATATCAACAGTCAACAAATGAGTGAAAAAGTTTAATCTCAAAGAAATACAAATTAAAACAGCAATGAGAGACCATTCTCAATTTAAGAGAATTAATCATCCTGGTCTCCAGATTCTTAGGTGCCAGGACCCAAATCCCAAGGTGTGATTTCAGCAAGGTCGTGGAAGAGGGGGAGCCTGGCTCTTTCTAGGGTTGGGGTGAGGGGCTCTGCACCAAGAAGCTCAGTGTTAAAATACCCACCGTGGCTCCACACCAGTCACAGAAGAAAGCACCTGGGCGGTTCTGGCGACCGCATTTGGAGCAGGAAATGGTCTCCCCTTTCAGAGTGGGCGCAGGACCAGCTTTTTCTCCACTGCACATGGACTAGTGAACACAACGGCATTGACAGGCAGATTAATACTATCTTCTCCAATTCCCCTCCCACAGAAAAGAAAAAAGCCCCAAATCAACACCAGACCCGGAAATAAGGTATTTCCGCCCAAAAGAGAAAAACTATCCTAAGCTTCACCAATTAATAAATTTGTACAAAGAGCATGCATTCCTTCACAGAAAGTTGATGAAACTGCTGCCTTACACAACTTAATATTCTTCAGTGTCTTTAATACCAGAGCTAGCAAGCCTACTGTTGATTTACTATACCAACATTAACAAAGAAAGAGTGTAAGGACAGCTGAGCTACCTAAGGTGTCACCATTGAAGTTTATCTTCTATCATTTGGGGTTCTGGTTTCGATCTGGAAATGTGAATTTATTTTCCACTCCTGACACATGTAAAGAATTACTTTGGGAAGGGAGATAGAATTGTTTCATAAGAATTTCTGACACTTTGATAGGTAGACCTATATTAGAATCTTTGCTCCTACTACTTACTTGCATTGCCTAGTAAAAGGTTTTCTCATCAAACAACTAAGGATGATATTCTTCATCATTGCTACATAGTTACCTACTACATGCAGGCACTGTTCTGCACACTGCCCCTAATACCCTCACATCAGTTCGCACAACAGACCTGTGAGGTGGATGCCATAATCATCTCTGTTTTACAGAAAGGGAAACTGATGCACAGATAGGGTAAGACCTAAGATTTGAACCCAGGCCCTGACTTTTACCCATGACTCCACAAACCCTTTTCAATACAACAGCTTTCTCACAGGTCTGTAGGGGGATCCCCGATGACTAATGAAAATTAATTATGTAAGAACAGTTAGCACAGGGTCAAGCTCCCTAGGTCAGCTTCCTCCCCTTCTCATCTTTCTTTCCACTAGATCCTGATTTCTTTAAGGAAAAGGACTACCATTTCACATTTTTTCCCTACCAGCATAGTGCCTGGTACCTTAGCACATGGGAGTCATTTAAGTAGTTACTAAATGAAGGAATAAATCAATGAATAATTGATTCAATCAATAACTAAACATGGTATGGTCATACCTTCCATGTATACTACTACTAAGAATGCGTACACTAGGGAAAATGCTTTCTAAGGGCAATTTTTCCTCAAACATCATTATTTCAGTTAACTTTATTTGCCCAGCTCTATCCTGTTTTACTTCAGGGACTGTTCTGTTATCCTAAAACAGACAGAGGCCACAGCAGCCCCCAACATCCAGAGACTGAGCAGGAAGATCTGCTTTGTGAACACTGACCCTCAGCCCATTTCTGTGAAGTAGAGTGAGATGCCTTGGGATAAATCAAAATAGAAACCCTTTGCACACTTTTGCTTCAGACTTAAGTTTCAATTTATCCTGTTAAAAGAGGGTTTTAATAAAACTTGCCGACGTGGGTTTCTAAATATAAAGCCTTCAGATCTTTTGCTTAAATACATCTACTATTTAAGTGAATTTTAAAAATATATGTTTTTATTGATTTTAGAGAGGGAGGGAGGAAGGGAAATGAGAGAGAAAAATATCAATATGAGAGAAAAATATGTATCATGCCCTGGAATCGAACTAGTGACCCTTTTGGTAAATGGGACCACGATCAACCAACCCAGCCACACCAGCCAGGACAAGTGAATTTTTAAAAATATAACACTGCTTTAAAAAAAGAAAAGTAATCTTACCACATTCAAATTAATGGTGCTAAACAAAGAAAAGGCATACAGCTATCAGATTGGACATGCACTGTTACTTTAATGGCACTTCAATGATAAATACTATTGTGACATCAAAACCCTGATATACTATTCAAATAGAAATACAACTTTGAAAACAAACTCAATTTTGTAATTGTTCATGAAATAGTTTTGTTGATAAGTGAGACCCAGAAACAACTACATCTCTGACAAATCAATTTACTTTACTATTTATATAAGAAGTCTAAGATGCCTGAGAAAATAAATTTTTGTTTGGCAATTTACTTCAATCTATCTGCAAGATCACCCCAAGAATTCCAAAGAACTAGTTCTCTTTGTTTATGCTTTTCCAATCTCACTATTTTTCTCTCTGGTGCCTTGGAAAATTATAAAGTGCAATTTCATGATGGGAGAGTGACATACAGTCTGAAGACAAGTTAATTTAGAGAGATAAACAAATATCAGTTAACAAAATCCTACCCTAAAATTGCATCTGATTTGATTTGGGAATAGGTGGGTTTTCTTATTAAATTTGTCAGCTCATTAGCATGTTTTTAGTCTCAGTTCTGAAAACACACACACACACACACACACACATATTATAAAGTCATCTTTGAAAAAAACTATAGATTTTCCTTCTGGTAATGATGGAGTAAGACCATACCAAATGACTCCACACATAAAAGAACTCTAAAATCTGCTCTTAATGCAAATATAGGCACTGGAGAATGAACAGAAGCAGATAGACTCCTGCAGCAAGTACCTACAGGAGGGAAGGGGATTATACAAAGTTAGTTTCCTTTTAGCCTGGTGCTAAGGACAGTCCACATAGTGCATGTAAAAAGGTAGGAAATGTATTTCTGGGTAGGAAAACCAAAAGACTGAAGCAGAGTAATATTTGGCTACTGAAGAGGTAGGGGGCTCTCAGAAAGAAGACAGAGAAGAGATCCCCAAATTCTGTGTACTCACATCTCTTACTGACCTGTGAACACACATGCACAGAACACTCAATGCAGCTCAGCTAAAGATGAAATATATAAACAAAGACCAAACTTTCTGCTCTCCTCTCTCTCTTTCCCAAATAAAGCATATTTATTGGATTTTTAGTATCTTGAGTAATTTTAAATTGTATCTAGCGTTATACATGTTAAGTTGTGGTTCTTTTGGATTCTACTACTATTCTCTGATAAAAGGTGTTCGGTTTGTTCTTGTTCTTGTTTGTTTGTTTTGTTTTTATTTAGCAGACAATTATACACTGAGTGGCCAGCTTATTATTACCGGCCAGATTATTATGACTACATCATCAGTACTTCATTGACACTTCCAAAAGTACTGGAATATTGAAAACTTCCTAAGCAAATACTCTCAAGTTTTTATTATTATTATTATTATTTGCATAACTAATTCACTTCATTGTACTGATGGGGTGGTCATAATAATCTGGCCGGTCATAATAATCTGGCCACTCAGTGTATATATAGCTGCCTGATAATACCAAGTTTTGGTGAGGATGTAGAGAAACTGGAACCTCCGTATTTTGCTGGTAGGAATGCAAAATAGTGTGGCAATTTTGGAAAAAAGTGTGGCAATATCTTATAAAATTAATCATGAACTTAGGTAGTATCCAGGAATCTTACTCTTCAGCATTTACCCAAGAGAAATGAAAACTACGTCTACACAAAATTTTGTACGTAAATGTTCACAGCAGCATTATTTATAATAGCCTGACACCAGAAATGAACACAAGTGCCCATTATTTGGTTAATAGTTGTATTATATCCATTCTGTGGAATAGTACTCAATGATCAAAGTTATTAATACATACAACAACATGAATGAACCTCAAAAACATTGTGCTAAGTCAAGAAAGTAAAATACAAAAAAACTACATACTTCTGTAAAAGGTAAAACCACAGTGTCAAAAGCGATCAGAATTTTCTGGGGGTAGTGATTAGAGGAGCTCAAATGAAAGGGGCATGAGAAAACTTTTTAGGGTAATGAAATTGTTGTATATCTTCATTGTGGTAGTTTAAATGATTATGTATAATTACTGACATTTATTAACCTGTATAATTAAAGTGAGTGAGTTATATTGAATATAAATTATGCCTCAATAAAAATTGTAACAAAAAGAGTTCCTTCAAATCAACTAATCTTATATTGTCAGTAATTAGACACAACCTTAAAAGACATCTTGTTCAACTCCCCTGTTATGGGGTTAACAAGTGTCTCCTCCAAAGAGATATGTTGGAGTCCTAATCCCCAGTACTTCAGAATATGCACTTATTTGAAAATAGGATCTTTATAGAGGTAATCAAGTTAATATGAGGTCATTATGGTGGTCCAAAAGAGAAGTTTGGACACAGAGACAGACACACAAAGGCAAGAAAATGTGAAGACACACAGCGAGAAGGTGGCCATGTGGCTGAAGTGATTCGTGTACCGGCCAAGGGAAGCTTGACGCTAGGAGAGAGGCATAAACAGTACTTTCCCTAGAGCTTCAGAGGAAGTGTGGTGTTGCCAACACCTTGATTTTGGACTTCTGTCCTCCAGAAATGTGAGATGATAAATTTCTGTTGTTTTAAGCCACTCAGTTTGTGGTGCTTTGTTTTAGCAACCCCAGAAAAACCAACACACCCCCATTTGATACTAACCATATTGGCCACAGTAATCATCACCCATTTGTCCAGTTTCCCAAGGAATGTCTCTGATGTGAAAACAAATCCCCCAAAGTGTCAAGTTTTTCCCTTCTAAGTTGGCTAGGAAATAGCGACTTCTTTTAGTATTGTTAGGCCAGGGCAAGAGTCACCTGGAAGTAATTTTTAAAGCCTCATCTTCATCAGAAATATTTTATAAACATAAAACAGATCATCTAAACTGAACCCATTCGCTCTACTTAAGTTGCATACACTCCTATTCCTTCATCTTAAACGCTCGAAATAGGCTGGTAGGAAACCCAGAAGTGGGTGCTGGCAGTGTTCTCAATTTCAAAAAATAGCATGGTACAGTTAAATAAAGACATACCTGACTATAAACAAAAGTGAATGGATCCATTAACCAATGGCTGCTGCCAGCCTTCCATGCAAAGTTAGTAAATAAAATGGTAAGAAATTGTAGATTTTATTGAATCCCCATGAAGACTTTGAAAACAATTTTGTATTGGTAAATATATAAAGTTCTCTTCACATTTGTAAACATTGCTTTCTGTTTACCATGAGAGGCTTTTTTGTTGCTGTTCTCTCTCCGTCCTCCCACCTCCTTCCTGCTCTGCAGATTATATTTATTCATTATCATTAACACTGAATCTTAGCAGCCACTAAATATAGGACAGGCACATGCAATCAACCTACCTCCTTTGATGAAGGCAGGGTGCTCTCACAGGTGAGGCAGTATTTCAGGTAAGGATGATTCCCTGTGCCACAGGTGCGACAGATTACCTTCTCCTTGAAAACAGAAAATACGAAATTCGTGTTCCTCTGAGCAAAAAACTGTGCAAACAGAGGCATGAAGCCACTTTAAGAACAAGATTAAAAGTCAACATTAATTGCAATGTTCAAGTTTAAATATATGAAGTAAAAAGTTGTCTAAGTTAGCTGTAGTGCAATTTGTCTTCTAAATCCATGTTCAGGGAACACATTTCTATGTATTCCTTTTTTTTCTTAGTTTTTTCTCTCTCTCTCTCTCTTTTTCTTTTTTTCTTCAGTCCCTCCATCGCCCCCTGATAGCTGTCCGCATGCTCTCTATGACTGTCACTATTTTGCTTGTTAGTTCATTTTGGTCATTAGATCCCACACTTTAATTATGTTAATTCTTCCTATCCATGAACACAGTATATGCTTCCACTTATTTGTATTTTCTTCCATTTTTTTCTTCAGTTTCTTATAATTTTCCAAGTACAGGTCTTTTGCATCCTTAAATTTATTCCTAGGTATTTTATTCTTTTTGAAACAATTGTGAATGGAATTTTTTTCTTAGTTTCCCTTTCTGATACTTCATTATTGGTGTATAAAAAGCCAACTGATTTCTAGATATTTATTTTGTATTCTGCTACTTTCCTGAATTCATTTATCCATTCTAGAATTTTTTTTGGTGGAATCTTTAGGGTTCTCTATGTACTGCATCATGTCATCTGCAAATAATGACAGTTTTACTTCCTCCTTTCCAATTTGGATGCCTTTTATTTCTTTTTCTTGTCTGATTGCTGTGGCTAGTATTGTATTGGTAAATATATAAAGTTCTCTCCACATTTAGAAACATTGCTTTCTGTTTACCATGAGAGGCTTGGTAATAAGAGTGGTGAAAGCAGACATCCCTGTCTTGTTCCTGTTCTTAAGGGAAATGCTTTTAGTTTTTGCCTATTAAGTCCGATGTTGGCTGTGGGTTTGTCATAAATGGCCTTTATTATATTGAGGTATGATGCCTCTATTCCCACTTTGCTGAGAGTTTTTTGTTTGCTTTTTTTTGTTAATCCTCACCTAAGGATATTTTTCCATTGATTTTTAGGGAGAGTAGAAGAGGAAAAGACAGAAACATCGATGTAGAGAAACACATCGATTAGTTGCCTTTTGCACAAGCCCCAACCAGGGCCCAAGGCAGGGAGGAGCCTGCAACCAAGATATGTGCCCTTGACCGGAATCAAACCCAGGGCCCTTTGGTCTGCAGGCCGATGCTCTATCCACTGAGCCGAACCAGCTAGGACTTGTTGAGAGTTTTTATCATTAATGGCTGCTGGATATGTATTCTTCTTAACATGATAGATCCTATTGATAAGTTAAACTTTTGGACAACATGCCTTTCCAAAAATTCGAGTGGATTTTGTTCACAGATATTGGCTTATCACTTGTTAGCCAATTCCATCAACTGAAGAAAGACAATTAATTGTTCAAACATTACTTTCTATATATTTCATTCATGTTTTTACAAAATCGCATTTCATTACCTTCAAGTGGAAGCCGGCCGGTGGTTGCATCTGCAGAGCAAGAGGAGCCTCACATACCACACAGAAGGAAGTGTTCATGGGCACCATGCTTCCACATTCTGCGCACAAGCCCAACTGGGCAAAGAAAGAGGTCAAGTTTGTCAGGGGATGCAAAAACTGAAGGTATAAGTAGATAATAGAATGTAAGGTTTAATTTGCTTTTGTAAAAACATTTTTTAGTAATTACCTCTATTCTTATTTTTTCATATGAAGATTAAAACCATGTTTATTTTAGAAAACAGAGATATAAAAAAAAAGAAAGAAAGAAAGGAAAAACATCCTCCAGCACAATACAGTGAGGAAGTTGATAAATCCTCTCTCCAAAAAAGCAATAAAGAAAGAAAGAAAGAAAGAAAGGAAGAAAGGAAAAACATCCTCCAGCACAATACAGTAAGGAAGTTGATAAATCCTCTCTCCAAAAAAGCAACTAAAAAGTTGGTAAAATTGTTAAAAACAACCATTTTGGACTCAAAACATCAACCAAAGACAGACAACAGACTGAAAAGTACTTAAACTTCAAACAGGAACACTACAAGTCTGCGTGGTTCTTGCATGGGGCCCTCTCTATCCCCCTCCAGCTTTATCGGCATGGTAGCTCCAGCAGGGCAAGGCAGGCTGTGAAAACCACAGGCTTTGTAACTATGGTGAACAGGGCTCACTTGATTTGGAGCCCTTCTAAGGTTACAATCTCAGTGGCAAGCAAAGAGGGTGGGTCAGTGGCTCCACTATTTTGAGATTGTGGTTCTGTTTAGGGCAATCAATGAACCAGCAAGTAGCCAGGAATTTAACGGGTAGTTTGAGGAAGTAAGTCAACTATAGGAATACAGTCAAGGTGTTGGTAAGGCCACGCTCTCTCTGAAGCTCTAGGGAAGGCACCATTCCACGCCTCTCTCCTAGCTCTGGTAGCCTCAAGCTTCCCTTGGCCTGTGGACGTATCACTCCAGTCAGCTCTCCACATACCTTTAGTTGACTGGAGGCTGTGTGCATGTGCAGCATAAACCAGAGTGGGTCCATGCCACCCACTCATCCCTGTCTGTACATGGAGATGCAATAGAGCTCAGCGTAAAGTAAAAGCTGGGGCAGATTTGAAAACAGCCTGAAGATGGAATGCTCTACCACATACCTTTAGTTGACCGGAGGCTGTGTGCATGGCCAGAAATTGTGCTCAGATACCTCGATCCAGTAAGGCTTCCACTCTCTACTGATATATCTATTTATGACCATCTTTTATCCTTAGTGTCTACCTTTTTTAAATGGTCATTTTCACATTCATTGTCATTTCACAGATCCTTTTATTTCCCCCCCAAAAACAAAAATATCAAGGAATAAAGGATGAATGTGTTTTGGTGAAGGTATTAATTTTTAGTAAGCCGACTATGTTTTCTAACTAACTGCAAACTTAGTAGTAAGATAATATGAATTATTATCTATACTTGGCTAAAACTTTTAAATTTAGATATACTAATCTATCTTTAGCCTATATAAACAGCTTCTTTGGACAAAATGATGTATTTTATGACTATATATAGGCTTGTAATTAATACATCTGATTTATTTCTAGAATATAATTCCTTATTATACCCAAATTATGAACAGAAATATCACATAAGTAGGAAATTAATATTTATCCATTTATGCATCATTGAAACAATAAGATTTCACTCTTTTTGAACCTGTGCTTCTACAAGGTCACACACCAAAAAAAAATTTCTTAAGTGGCATTGCAAGCAAGTTTTTTCATTCCTAAGTAAGGAGTCACACAGTAAGAGTTTAACCTGACAGTAATATTTTCAACAAGTATTTATGTTTGTGGTTTGTGCATGCCAGGTACTATTCTGCTGCTGCAAATAAAGAGATTTCACTCTTTTTGAACCTGTGCTTCTACAAGGTCACACACCAAAAAAAAATTTCTTAAGTGGCATTGCAAGCAAGTTTTTTCATTCCTAAGTAAGGAGTCAGACAGTAAGAGTTTAACCTGACAGTAATATTTTCAACAAGTATTTATGTTTGTGGTTTGGGCATGCCAGGTACTATTCTACTGCTGCAAATAAAGATCAGATAACCCGCCGAACCGGTTTGGTTCAGTGGATAGATCGTCAGCCTGCGGACTCAAGGGTCCCAGGTTCCATTCCGGTCAAGGGCATGTACCTAGGTTGCGGGCACATCCCTACTGGGGGCTGTGCAGGAGGTGGCTGTTTAACCTGACAGTAATATTTTCAACAAGTATTTATGTTTGTGGTTTGTGCATGCCAGGTACTATTCTGCTGCTGCAAATAAAGATCAGATAACCCAATGAAAGAAACTTTTAAGGACTCTGCTGCTCACCTGAGCTCCTTCTGAGGGTGAGAGACGACAACCAAATACAGGTGGAACAGGAAAGCCACAATCTTGACAGAAGCGAACCAAGGGATCAGATGGGCGAAGGGCGAGGCACTGGGCACACCTACAACAGAAGAGGTTCCTGATTGGTCATGTACTGATGGGTTCACATTAAGAAGTCAGGTGAAAATCTAAGTGTTCAAGAATCTTTAAAAATAAAAAAAGTAAAATACTCTCATAGGCTAGAGAACAAGTTCTCTAGTCATTTTATTACAAAGTGGACTCAAGCTGGAACCACTGGTACCCTTCACTACAGGCCATCTCACTTCCTGAATGCAGCTGAAGTTAGCAGCAGCCTAGAACCCACTTCTTGTGGGGTTCTGACTTGTCCTATCACATTGGATTGGCACTGGATTTGTGAGGATAAGCCAAGGGAATTCTAGTAATGTCTACATTGCACTTTTCTAACTTTCTACCTGAGCAGTGAGCCCAGTCTGTGTGACTCTCTGGAGGGTCACTGTCAGTTAAGCTCTGCCTTTGTCTCCACTCACCTGGTTAGAGTTCCAAGGCCCTGCCCCAGCAATATCTGTCCCAGTTTCCTAGGCAGATGTATCCCATCATTTAGCCCTCACCAACCTACCTGGGTTCTGAATATCAGCCAAAGTGAGAGCATTGACAAAATTCAGCATTCTTTTATTATTAAAAGCATTGAATAAACTAGGAACAAAAGAAAACATCCTCAACATGCTAAAGATCACATACAAACACCCCAGAGCTAACATCATACTCAGTGGTGGATGACTGAAAGCTTTCCCCCTAAGACCCACATTCACTGTTTCTATTCAACATAGTATTGGAAGTTCTATACAGAGCAATTAGGCAAGAAAAAAATAAATAAAAGGCATTCAAACTAGAAAGAAAGAAGTAAAATTATCTCTGTTCATGGATGATAGGATCTTATATGTAGAAAACCCTAGAGAGTACACCTAATAAGAAAATTTAGAAAAGTGGTAGGATAAAAAAATCAACACACAAATATCTGTTGTATTCCTATGAATAATTTGAAAAGGAAATTAAGAAAACAATTCTATTTATAACAGTATCAGAAAGAATAAAATATTTAGGAATCAATTTAACTAAGTAGGTAAAAGACTTGTACAATGAAAGCTATAAAACTTCTCAGAAAGAAATTTTAAAATGACATAAATAAAAGGATAGACATCCTGTATTCATGAATCAGAAGACTTACTATTAAGATGAAAATACTAACTAAAGCAATGTATAGATTCAATGCAATCCCTATCAAATTCTCAATGACTTTTTTTGCAGAAAGAAAACTCATCCTAAATTCATACGGAATCTCAAGCACCCTCAATAGTCAATATAGTCTTTAAAAAGAACAACAAAGTTAGATGACTCACACTTCCTGATTTCAAAATTTACTACAAAGCTAACTAATACATGAAGTATTGTTCTAACAGAAAAACAAACATATGGACAAATGGAATAGAATAGAGAGCCCAGAAATACCCAGTATACCTTTGCATATATGGTCAAATGATATTTGGTGAGGGTCTGAACACCATTCAATGGGGAAAGGACAGTCTTTCTGACAAAGGTGCTACGAAAACTGGATATCCACATGCAAAACAATGAAATTGGAACCCTACTTACAACATATACAAAAACTAACCCAAAGTGGATCAAAGATTTGAATGTCAGAGGTATATCTATAAACCTCTTAGAAGAACCCATAAAGGACAAGCTTCATGACACTAGATTTGGCAATGATTTCTTAGATATGCCATCCAAAGCATAGGCAGCAAAAGAAGAAATACATGCCCAGCTGGCATGGCTCAGTGATTGAGCATCGACCTATGAACCAGGAAGTCATGGTTCAATTCCAAGTCAGGGTACATGCCCAAATTGCGGGCTTGATCCCCAGTGTAAGGCGTGCAGGAGTCAGCCAATCAATGATTCTTTCTCATCATTGATGTTTCTCTCTCTCTCTCTCCTTCTCACTTCCTCTCTGAAATCAATAAAAATATTTAAAATTTTTTAAATTTAACTTAAAAAAACCTTTTGTGTATCAAAGGACACTAACAAGGGAGTGAAAAGACAACCTACAAATGGGAGAAAATATTTCCAAATAATATATCTGATAAAGGATTAATGTCCGGAGTATATAAAGAACTCCTAAACTTAAAACTCAAACAACCTATTAGAAAATGCGCAAAAGACTTGAATAGACATTTCTCCCAAGAAAATATACAAATATCCAAGAAACACATGAAAAAAAGCTCAATATTACTTGCCATTCTGGAAATGTAAATCAAAACCACTTTATACTCATTAGAATGACTATTATCAGAAAAATAAAAAATGAGTACCAGTGAGAGTCTGAAAAATTGAAACCCTTGTACATTTCTGATGAAAACGTGAAATGATGCAGCTGTTGTAGAAAACTATTTGGAAGTTCCTCAAAAAGTTAAACATAGAATTGCTATATAACCCAGAAACTCCACTCTTAGTCAAATACCCAAATGAATTGAGAGCAAGGATTCAAAACAGATACTTGTGCATCAATGTTCATAACAGCATTATTCAAATAGACAAAAGGTGGAAATGATTCTATCTATTAACAGATAAATGGATTAACAAACTGTGATATATACACACAATGAAATATTATTTATCTTTAACTAGAGGCCCAATGCACGAACTCGTGCAAGGGGCTCGGCCCTCGCAGCCCCAGCTGCCTCATTGGCTGTCCCACCCACTGGTTGTTCCAGAAGGCCGTTCCAGAAGGTCGTTCTGCCATCTGGCCTATTTAGCATATTAGCTCTTTATTACATAGGATAAGAAATGAAATTCTGATACATCCATGATAACATGGATGAACCTTGAAAATATTATGCTAAGTGAAATCAGACACAAAAGAACAAATGTTGTCTGATTCCACCTACATGAGGTAAGTAGAATAGACAAAGTCATAAAATCAAAAAGTAGAACAGAGGTTACCAGAGACTGGAGAGAGGGAGTAATGAGGAGTAATTATTGTTTAATGGGAACGAGGTTCTGTTTAGAATGACAAAATAGTTCTGGAAATGGATAGTGAAGATAGTTGCACAACATTGTAAATGTACTTAATGCCATGAAATTTTACACTTAAAATGCTAAATTTTATTTATGTATATTTAAGCACAATAAAAAGTATAAAGGACCACAAAAATCATTATCTATATAATAAAAGCCTAAGCGATCATGGCGGAACAACGACTAGAACGACCGGTCGCTATGATGCGCATTGACCATCAGGGGGCAGACGCTCAATGCAGGAACTGCCCCCTGGTGGTCAGTGTACTCCCACAGGGGGAGGACCACTCAGCCAGAAGCCAGGCTCACAGCTGGCAAGCACAGCAGCGGTGGCGGGAGCCTCTCCCACCTCCACGGCAGTGCTAAGGAGCAGCGAGCCAAGCAGCAAGGAGCAGTGAACAGGCGGGCAGTAAGGAGCAAGGGGTCCCAGACATCCCCCCAGAGGTCCCAGACTGTGAGAGGGCGCAGACAGGCTGAGGGACCCCATCCCCAGTGCACAACTTTCATGCAACAGGCCTCTAGTATAAAATAAAAGTAATAATGTATTATGGGTTCAGAATATTTGTAAAAATAAAATGTATGACAATAGCACAAAAGCTACTGATATTCAGTTATTGGAAATATACTGTCATAAGGTTCTTATGCTATATATTAAGTATTATAATATTACTTGAAGGTAAACTATGATAAGTTTAAAAAGTACACATACTATAAACTCTAGAGCAACCACTAAAAAAAGTCATTGCTAATAAACCAACAAAGGAGATAAAATGGAATCATAAAACATACCAATTAATCCAAAAGAAGGCAGAAAAAAAAGGCAACAAATAAAAAATAAGATAAACAGAAAACAAATAGCATGATGGCTGATTTAAATTCAAACATATCAATAAGTAAAATAAATAGGCTCTCAACATCTCAATTAAAATGCAGGGTTACCAGATATAATTTTTAACAAAGCAAGACCTAAAACACCAAAAGATACATCATGCAAACATCTTGAGAAAAAAAGAGTGGCACCAGAACAGGCATACACAGAAATAAATCCATGCCTTTATGGTCAATTAATATTTGACAAAAGAAGCAAGAAGATACAATGGGGTAAAGAGAGTCTCTTTAATAAATGGTGTTGGAAAAATTGGACAGATACATACATACAAATGAAAGTAGACCACCAACTTACACCATACACAAGAATAAACTCCAAATGGATAAAAGACTTAAATGTAAGTCACGAAACCATAAAAATCCTAGAACAAAACATAGGCAGTAAAATCTCAGACATCTTTCATAGTAATATTTTTGCTGATATGTTTCCTAGGGCAAGGGAAATACAAGAAAAAAAATAAACAAATGGGACTTACATAGAACTAGAAAGCTTCTGCATAGCAAAAGAAACCATCAATAAAATGAAAAGGGAACCCACAATAAGGGAGAAGATATTAGCCAATGATATATCTGATAAGGGGTTAATTTCCAAAATATATAAAGAACTTATACAACTTAACACCAGGAAGGCAAACAATCCAATTAAAAAAAGGGAAAGGACCTAACTAGACACTTCTCCAAAGAGGACACACAGATGGCCAATAGATGTATGAAAATTGTTCAATGTCACTAATCATCTGAGAGATGCAAATTAAAACTACAATGAGATATCACCTCACACCTGTTAGAATGGCTGCCATCAATAAGTCAACAAACAACAAAGTGCTGGTGAGGATGTGGAGAAAAGGGAACCCTGGTTGGTGGGAATACAGACTGGTGCGGCCACTGTGGAAAATAGCATGGGGTTTTCTCAAAAAATTAAAAATCGAACTGCCTGTTGACCCTGTATCCCATTTCTGAGAATATATCCTAAGAATTCTGAAACACCAATTCAAAAGAATATATGCACTCCTGTGTTCACAGCAGCCTTATCTACAATAGCCAAGATCTGGAAACAGCATAAATGCCCATCGGTAGATGAGTGGATAAAAAAGTTGTGGTACATTTACACAATGGAATAGTATGTGGCTGTAAAAAAGAAGGAACTCTTACCCTTTGTGACAGCATGGATGGACCTGGAGATTATTATGCTGAGTGAAATAAGCCAGTCAGAGAAAGACAAATACTATATGATCTCTTATATGTAGAATCTAATGAACAAAATAAACTGATGAACAAAAGAGAAACAGAGGCATGGATACATGGAATAGACTGATAGCTATCAGGGGTAAGGAGGAAGGGGGTACTGGATGAAAGAAGGTGAAGGGATTAGCTAAAGAATATATATGCATAACCCATAAACTACACAACAGTGGGGTGATGGCCAGGCAGGCAAAGGGGTTGGGGGGATGGAAACATCTATAATCGTGTCAACCATAAAAAGAAAAAAATGTTTAATACATGCAAAACATGGATAAATCTCAAAATAATTAGGCTGAGTTAAAGAAGCTGGCAAAAAAGAAGAGTACGTACAGAAACTTTCTAGTTACATATGGAATGAAATGCAAACTAAGCTACAGTGACAAGAAGCAGATCAACAGTTGCCTGGGGATAAGGAGACGCACAAGAGAGAAATTTCAAAAGGGTACACACTTTTGGAGGTAATAGATTTGTTTATTTTCTTACTGTGGTGATAGTTTCAGAGTTATATTCATATGTCAATTGTACTCATTAAATAAATGCAGTTTATTGTATGCCAATTATGCCTTTAAAATCTGTAAAAATTTAATAAAACACAGTTAGGGGTAGGCAAACACCATTATGTTCCATCCTTAAATTCTTTTTGACCATAATGTGTTGTAGAAGGATTTAAGAAACAGTAAAGAGAATGAGATTACTTACTTGAGAAAGTCTGTCTCCCTTTGAATTCTCATGATCTCTGTGGCTGTCAAACTCGGATGGCCAGTTATGTGTGCAAAACTAGGGAACTAAAATTAAGAATATAACAGAATCTTGGTAAAAGCTGTGGTATAGTAAAATTTCACTACAAATTGTAATATTTTGTCTTACATCCAGCATCCACCCTTTAAGAATCAAGATTGGGGAAGTCATAGTTAATGATTATCCCAGTACCCACCATTAAAAAATTAAAGTGCTAGTCATAATCATATATGTAGATTACATTAAAAAGATAAGTTTAGGCCTGGACGGTGTGGCTCAGAGTGGTTAGAGTGTGGGCCCCGCACACTGAAGGGTCGGGGGTTCAATTCTTGGTCAAGGGCATGTACCTGGCTTGCAGGTTCATCCCCAGCTCTGGTTGGGATGCATGTGGGAGGCAACCAATCCATGTATCTCCCTCACATTGATGTTTCTCTCTCTCTCTCTCTCTCTCTCTCTCTCTCTCTCTCTCTCCCCTTCTCTTTCCCCCAGCCCCTTTTCTCCCTCCTTCTTTCTCTAAAAAAATCAATGGAAAAAATATCCTTGGGTGAGGATTAACAAAAATAAACAAACAAAAACACAAAAAACCGTAAGTTTACAAGAAAAGATATCTGAATTTACCATCAGACAGACCCGATTTCAGTATTTAAACCTAAGTTGGCTCTATTTTCTCAAAGATTATATCCCTAGGAAACTCAAAAGGACACACCTAAAAGAATAAATGCAGCAACTTTCTGCTGTTATCCACAAACATTTAACTCACTTCGACATACTTATTTAAGCATTCACTTTGTACCAGGTACTGTGCTTGATGCCAGAAGGGGACTAGGATAGATACTATAGCACATAGCCTATCCTGGGACTCAGGTGGTTTTATGTGATCTGTATGTTCGAGTGGTAGGAGAATGGGACAGAAAGAAGTTTGGAGAAGGAACATGAAGGAAAGAAGCTAACAATTATTGAGGGTCTGACAGTAGTAAAATGTGCCTGGCCATTTTTGTAGCCATTTTCTCCTTGACACTTCACAATGACCTTATGACTTGAGTACTATTATCCCCGTTTTATTTTATTCTTATAAAATTTTCTTTTGATAATTTCAAACTTACAGAAAAGTTGCAAGGATTATACAAATAACTCCTGTATAACCAGTATGACCAACTGTTCATGTTAACATTTTGCCCAAGTGTGCGCACGCGCTCTCTCTCTCTCTCTCTCTACCATGGAGAATAAGCTGCAGTCATGATGCCCTGTCTCTAAATACTTCAGTGTGCATTTCCTATGAACAAGGATGCCCTCTTACTCAACAGAATTATCAAAACCAGAAAAATTAACAGTGACATAATACTATTATCTAACCCACAGATCTTTATTTAAATTTTATTAATTGTGCCAATGTCTTCACAACTATATTTTTCCTGGTGTAGGATTCAGTCTAGTATCATACTTTCATTCAGTTGTCATGTCTCTTTTGTCTCCTTTAATTTGGAATAGTTTCTCAGTCTGTCGTGTGTTTTTTTTTTAATATATTTTTATTGATTTCAGAGAAGAAGGGAGAGGGAGATAGAAACATCAATGATGAATCATTGATTGGCTGCCTCCTGCATGCCCCCTATTAGGGACTGAGCCTGCATCATGATGGATAAAGACAGACTGAGGCCCTAGCTGGTTTGGTTCAGTGGACAGAGCAACCTGGAGACTGAAGGGTCTGGGTTCGATTCTGGTCAAGGGCACATGCTCGGGTTGTGAGCTTGATCCCTAGAAAATAGAGTGGGTGGGGAGAAGAAAGAACCCAGGGGTTCTGGCTGAGGCACACCATGGCACTAGAAATTGGAAGTGAAGGAAAGGGCTTAACCTTGAGATAAGGACAGTTAGTCTTCCAGGCCAGTGATTCTCCAACTGGACTGATCATCAAAGTCCTCCATGGAATCCATCCAGGCTTAAGAAATCAGATTATTTAGAAGGATTTCAGGAGGAATAGCTGAGAATCTATACTAATAAAAGGGTAATATGCTAATTAGGATGGATGTCTTCTGGACATCCTTCCAGATGTCCTTACGGATAAAGCCGAAGTGGCTGCCTGAGGCTCAGGCAAGCCGCGGATGGCAGCTGCCGCTGCCAGGGCAGGCCCGAGGCTCAGGCAAGCCATGCATGGTGGCTGCCGCTGCAAGGGCCTGAGGCTCAGGCAATGAGGGCCAGGCCGAGGCTCAGGCAGCCACAGTAGCCAGCAGTGGCTGCAGCAGAGGCATGATGGGGGTGTCACCTTCCCCTGATCAGCCCGGTCGCCTCCCCCAGAGGGAGGCCAGACTGCGGCTTTGGCTCGCTCCCCCTGGGGAGCGGGCCTAAGCCATAAGTAGGACATCCCCTGAGGGCTCCCAGACTGTGAGAGGGGGCAGGCTGGGCTAAGGGACCCCCCCACCCAGTGCACAAATTTTCATGCACCAGGCCTCGTCTGTATATATAAATATATATAGTTTCCCCCAGATGTTCCTGATGTTCAACCAGGTTGGGAAAACATGCTTTTTAGCCACACACTGGGGATTTAGCCTGTAACCTGGGCATATGCCCTGACTGGAAATCTAACCAGTCATAGGTCGACGCTCAACCACTGAGCCACGCCGGCTGGGCAGAAAACATGCTTTTTAATTTTATACTTGACTAGAGGCCCAGTGCATGAATTCATGCACCAGTGGCATCCCTCAGCCTGGCCTACGGGATTGGGCTAAAACCGGCTCTCTGACATCCCCTGAGGGGTCCTGGATTGTGAAAGGGTGCAGGCCAGGCCCAGGGACCCCACCGGAGCATGATCAGGGCTGGGGAGAGACATGGAAGGTTGGCCAGCCAGGGAGGGACCGCGGGAGGGCTCCAGGGCATGTAGGGCCCATCTCTCTCAGTTCCGATTGGCTGGACCCCAGCAGCAAGCTAACCTACCAGTCGGAGCGTCTGCCCCCTGGTGGTCAGTGCACATCATAGCGACTGGTCAATCAGTCAACTGCCTGCCCCCTGGTGGTCAGTGCACACCATAGCGAGCAGTTGAGTGGCATATCATTAGCATATTATGCTTTGATTGGTTGAACAAATGATCAGACAACTGGACACTTAGCATATTAGGCTTTTATTATATAGGACTAGAGGCCTGGTGCACAAAATTCATGCACGGGGGTAGGGAGGGTGGTCCCTCAGCCCGGCCTGCACCCTCTCGCAATCTGGGACCACTCGGGGGATGTCTGACTGCCGGTTTAGGCCCGATCCCACTGTGGGATCGGGCCTAAACCAGCAGTCGGACATCCCTCTTACAATCCAGGACCGCTGGCTCCTAACCGCTTGCCTGCCTGCCTGCCTGATCACCCCTAACCATTCTGCCTGCCTGCCTAATCACCCCTAACCACTCATCTGCCTTCCTGATCACCCCTAACCGCCTCTGCCTGCCTGCCTGATCGCCCCTAACCACTCACCTGCCTGCCTGATGCCCCTAACTGCTCGCCTGCCTGCCTGATCGCCCCTAACTGCCTCTGCCTGCCTGATCACCTCTAACCACTCACCTGCCTGCCTGATCACCCCTTACCACTCTGCCTGCCTGCCTGATTGCCCCTAACCACTCTGCCTGCCTGATTGCCCCTAACCACTTGCCTGCCTGCCTGATAACCCCGAACCACCTCTGCCTCGGCCCCTGCCGCAGCGGCTTCATACGGAAGGATGTCCAGAATAACGTCCAGAAGGTCATTCGGCTGTCTGGTCTAATTAGCATATTACGCTTTTATTATTATAGATTATAAGTGTGACCAGACTTGGAATCATGGGTACATAAGAAGCAGTTTGTGGCTGTATAAAAAATGTGACTCCATATATGCTCTACCTAGGGCTCAGATTGGAGGAAGAGAGAGCAAGAACTCTTGGGTTGCATTTAGATGCCAAAATTCTAACTTGGATTTTATAAACATTGAAAAATCAAATTGCTATAACAGTAGTAGTAGATGGCCACTAGTATAAGGGCATCTTTCTTGTATTATATGGTAAGAAATGTATTGATATAGCTTTTATTTCTATTATAAATCACCTTCATCTTGTTTAAATCCAATGGGCAAGTCCCTGTGCTTGTCTAATTTGAATCCCAGTAACATTTGACATAGATGACCACTGTCTTCTTCCAAAACCCTTTCTTCTCTTGGCTTTCTATGTTTGTTTGTTTTGCTTTCTTCCTACTTCTCAGGCTCTTCCTCTTCTACTCAACCTCTAAAGTCAAGGATTTTTCTGGACAGCTTTATTTATTAATTATTGTATTTTTCATATGAACAACTGTAAACCTACTTTTGCCCACTCTGGTATACTAAATATTTCCACATATATGTATTTCTAGCCCTGGACTCTACCCTGGGTTTGAACTTGCATGGCCAACAGTGTATTTAACACCTCCACTTGAATTTTTTTAATTTAAGAGAGAGGGAGATAGATTTATTGTTCCACTTATTTATGCATTCATTGTTGCTTCTTGGTTTGCCCTAATGAGAAATCGAACCCACAACCTTGGAATATCAAGATGATGCTCTAACTGACTGAGCTAACTGGCCAGGGCCTCCACTTTAATTTCTAATGAGTCTTTGAACACCTGCTCCTCCCTCATCTTTCTTTCCATTAATGATACCATCACCTCCAGATGCTCAGAGCAGAACCTTGAGAGTCACTCTTGACTCTTCCTTTCCCCTCATCTTATCTATCTAATCCCTCAGCCAAACCTGTCAGCTCTATCTCCAAAACACTGGATTCCCACTGCCTCCTATGATCACCACTTGCACAACCTTGGTAGAAACCACCTTCATCTCTCATTTCTCCCAAATGATATTCCCCTCTGATTCCTCTACAGCTCAATCTCCATACTACTATGGCGAAAGAAAAAAACTTTTATTCCCCTCCTCTTTTTTTTTAATTTTATTCAAAATTGATTTGAGAGAGAGAGATAGAAATATTGATGGGCTGCCTTCTTCTGGGGATTGAGCCTGCAAGTCGGTCATATGCCCTGACCGGGAATCAAACTAGAGACCTCTCAGTGTATGAGACGAAGCTCAACCAACTGAGCCACACTGGCCAGAGCCCCCTTCTCTTCTTTTAAATGTAAATAAGATCATGTCTTACCATCCAAATGAATTCCCTTTACAATTAGAAAATCAAACTCCTTACAATGGGACTCACCCATAGCATCTGCTATTCCCAATCATGCCTGCCCATTAGAATCACTTGTGGGTGAATTTTTAAAATAAAATAAAATAAAACCATGCCCAAACCCCATATCAGACCAATTAAATCAGAATTCCTGAGGTTGGCTTCCTGGGATTTGTTTGAAACCCCTCAGATGATTCTCATGTGCAGTAATGTTTGAGAACCACAGTTCTCCATGCTCTGGCCCCAGTCTACTTCTTGCACCTCATCTCTTACCTTGCTCTCCACACCAGCCTCCTTGCAATCCCCCTTTTCTGTACTTGCTATTACTGCTGCCAAGATCTTTACAGGGTTGGCTTCTGTTCATCTTGAAGGCTCAATTCAAATGTCATATTTTCAAGGAAGTTCTCTCTTATTACTCAGAATTAGAATACTGTCCTTCCTTCATGGTCATTCTCTATCCCAGTGGTTCTCAAACTTGAGTGTGTATCAGAAAAAGGGCTAATTAAAACAGATTAGTGGGCCCACTTCCCAAGTCCCTAATTCAGTAGACCTGGGAAGGGGCCTGAAAATTTGCATTTCTTTTTTTTAAGTATTTTTTTTAAATTGATTTCAGAGAGGGAGGATGCGGGCACATCCCCAATAGGGGGTGTGCAGGAGGCAGCTGATCGATGTTGCTCTCTCATCAATGTTTCTAACTCTCTATCCCTCTCCCTTCCTCTCTGTAAAAAAAATCAATAAAATATATTTTTAAAAAACAAAAAACAAAAAAAACCCATCATGATGAGAGAGAATCATTGATCAGCATGCCCCACCCCCCTCCTCCACTGGGGACCGAGCCTGCAACCCGGGCATGTGCCTGCCCCTGACCAGAATTGAACCTAGGACCCTTCAGTCCGATGCTCTACCCACTGTTCCAAACCAGCCAGGGCTGAAAATTTGCTTCCACGTGATATTGATGCTACTGGTCTGTGAGGTCCACACTTTGAAAACCACTGCTCTATTCCATTACCCAGTGTTATCTTTTTCATTATATTTATCCCAAATTAAAATTTTTTGTTTATTTACATATTTATTATCTGCCTACCCCCACCCCCAATAAAATATAAGTTCCATGAGTATAGGAGGCTTTCTTATCAAACACAGTGTCTCAGCTCTGAAACAGTTCCTGGCACATGGTGAAAGGCTGAGAAACACTACCTTAAAGTATTTCATGGGAAACATTAAAAAGGCAGTAGGTATTCAGTACCCTGAAGATTTTCCTTAGAAGTTACCTGGGGCGGATTTCTGGGTGGTCTAGAAACCGATTCTTCACGGTAAGGGGGCCTTTCCAGGTGGCTGTCTGAAAAGCAAAGATCTTTCAATGTTTTAGACTTAGTTCTTTCACCTACCTCGAGGTATACAAATACATCAAAAACATCATTCTGTCAACAACTGTAATTATATATATAATCATGCAAATGTCTTCATAGTTGCAAAACTTTTTATAAGGGACCACTGTCATCAGTCTTTCTTTAAAGTAGCAGCTACATAAAGATGACCCCACTCAGGTGAAATAGCACTGAGAAAGAAAAAATTAGCCCAGACTAAGAAAATTAAAATCTGCCCAGCTACATTCCAAAACATTTCACATCAAACTAGAAAAATAGATAAATCCAACTGCAAGTTTATAAGGAAATATTTCTCCCCATAACACAGTGCAGCAGTATAATGTCCTAAAAGCACTCCCTTTGAGGGACATTGTTTCTTCCCTGCCAAGAAACCTTCTTCTCTAAAAATCAGGTTTTCAGAAACTGGTGTTTCAAAGCATCTCAGTAAGAATGAAACATCTGACTCTTGCCTGAGGACCTAAGTTACTTTGACATCGACAAGAAGCCTTAATTTCCAACTCAGTGCAGAGCTTCAGAGAAGGGTTTCTGAGCACAACGGTCACATTTATCTTTGTTGTTTCCAAGATAAGAGAACACTGGTTCCCTTAGGCAGCCCACACCAGATAGTGACCACTTCACATTCAGCCCTGTTGTGCTTTGAGCCTTTCAAACACTCTGCTTTCATTTACATTTCATACAAACTCCACTCTTCCCCCAAACCCTCTACTATCTTTTCCTTTGTTTGGTGATACACCCCATGGATCCTCTTGTGTGTTGCAAGGAGTCATAAACCTGACTTTGTTGGACTGCTAGGTTAGCCCTCCTGGATAAGCCATTAGCTTAGATAGCATTAAAATTCAAATTATGGCTTACTTTACTGTTCCAGTATTTCTTATTCCAACCCTTCTGCAGACAAAGTAAGTTATGAACCTGTTTGGGGTTTAGAAAACTAAATGTTAACCTCATCCTCTCATGTCATACCTAGATGTCTATGGTTAACATTCCAACCAGGTTTATGTTCAACATTCTTAGATTTCTTCCTTGGTTTTGGTGCAACAAATCCATTTTTCAATTCCTAGGAATGAAAACATTGCATGTTAGTGTCTTAATTAGGCCCACTTTAGAATGTGAACATTAAGTCACATGGTAGAGGCAGTGTCATAGCGTATACTTCTTACTTGAAAGGATTTACAAAGTGACTTCTGCCTCACCTTACTCTGGAAATACACAGCTTTGTATCTGAGCTGCTTGGCTGACAGCATAAGCCCCACCAGATCAAGTGGTCAAGATGAGAGGCAGGTAGCAGCACACGTAGGCAGGATGTTGCCATCATGGGAGTCTGATAATGACCAGGGAACTACCAAATCCAGGGAGCAAAGACAGGGTGGGGTCAGACCAAGATAGGACTTACGTACAGTACCTGCCCACATACAGTCCTTAACACTCCTCTCTGGGCTTTCTTCTCCATGGACTCAGTCTCTTATGCTTGACCAAGCCTGTGCACCTGCTGACACATGTAGGCTCAGCCTCTGCTGGCTGGCCCTGCCTTGTGTAGATCCCTTCCCTGATCATACTTGAGCCCCATGTTCTACCTACACCCACTGCTTTGGTTCCACAGCCTCCCCTCTGGCCTCTTGGACCACTGTTGGGCTGAAGGGACTCCCCAGAAAACTTTATGTCACCCCCAACACGACCTTTGTGACAGACTCTTTAGTTGATTGCCTTCCCATGGGTTAGCCCATCTTCTGATCCTTGGATCTGTCTCACTGAGGTCCACAACACAGGGTCTGAAGTTTCAAAAGTCATTTTTAGATAGGTCTCGTTCACTCCCCAAAGTGGGGCTTTGCAGCTGCTTGGGAATGAAGATTTCAACGTAACAGGAGGCTATACCCACTGAGGGCTTCTCTACTAGTCTGGTGCATCTATTCAACAAATATACACTCACCGCCCACTCCTACCTGGCCCTGTGCAAGGAATTGAGTACGGCAGACGTACTCTCTGCCACCTTGAAGCTTACAGTGCAAGGAGATGATAGACAAGGAGCAAAGTAATCACATATTCACAGCATTTTATAAAAGGAGAAGGCCTGGGTGCTAGGGGAGCAGTGACAGAATACAGAAAACACAGTTTAGTTTGGCTGGAGTATATACAGGAGAGTCACAAAGCAAGAAAGGATGACTTAGGATAGAAAGTGATCCTTTGGGATGCCAGCCTAAAGGTTTGTTACTTCAATAGGTAAGGGGATCACTGAGGACACTAGAACATGGGCAGTTCTGATAGGTAGGAAAATCTACAGGCGGACCAAAGCGGGGAAATCAGCAAAGATACTTTGCAATGGTTGATAATGACCAGGGTTGTGGGTAGAATGACTGTGGTGATGAAATGAAAGGGAAGATGTGACCACTAAGAAAGGAGGAACCAAGAATGTGGTAACTATCTGAATGTATTATAGTTTCATTACTTGCCTGCTTTGAAGAATCTTCGAGAATGTTTTCAACACTGTCTTCTGAAGAGGCTGCATTTGGTGGTTCATATTCCACCTGAAACATCTTTGTTACAATGCCACTCTGTCTGCAGTCTCTGAAAATTATTTTAAAAAGAAAAAGTCTGTGTATTACACAAATATTCCAAAAAAGCCGGATAGCAATTAAGATAACTCTATTGAAGTCCCTTAGTCTAGCTACTAAATTTAGTATATTTTAAATTGAAGAAATCAAAATATAACTTCTATAGTCTTTCTTTACATTATTCTCATTTAGATGATCTATTGCTTTGTAATAAACTGCTCCAAAACATACTGTTTTAAAACAAATCTGTGAGTTAACGAGGCTCAGCTGGATAGCTCTTGTCTGCAATCTCTCATGTGATTGCAGTTAGATATTGGCTGGGCGGGAGTCAACTGAAAGGTCAACTTGGCTGGATGTCCAAAATGATCTCTTCCCTCATACTCACAGCCTAGGCTAGGATTTCAATTCTCATTCTCTCTCCCTCCCTCCCTCCTTCCTTCCCTCCCGCCCTCCTCCCCTCCACCCCCCCTTGGTGGTTAGCTTGGCCTTCCTTACAGTATGGAAGTCAGGCTTCCTACATGGTGGCTGGCTTCACCCAGTGTTTATGTTCCAAGATAACAGAGCAGAAACTGCTACACTTTGTGATCTAGCCTCAGCATCATTTCTGAAACATTCTATTGGTCAAAAGTAAGTCATAGGACCAACCACATTCCAGTGGAGGGGCTACACTGGGAAGCATGGTTAATTTTTGGAGACTATCTACCACATTGACCATAAAGATTTTATACTTCAAGTCTCAAACTATTCTAAAACAAAGAATCAGGTTATCTGTATATCATTCCATGTGACTCAAGGGAATTTTCCTGTAGATAGCATAATATATGTTGCTGTGGTAGATTTAAACTGCTATTCCTCAAATGCTACCATGTTTTCAATTTATTCATAATATTTTACAATTAATCTTGTTCCTCTTTGATGCAAAAGAAGTTCCATAAGAAAGCCATGTAGAGGTGCCCATAACTAAAAACTGATGGTGATTTATTCTGAGCACCAGCAACTCACCTAACACTATTTTTTTAATATATATTTTTATTGATTTCAGAGAGGAAGGCAGAGGGAGAGAGAGACAGAACATCATAATGAGAGAAAATCATTAATCGGCTGCCTCCTAAACGCCCCCTACTGGGGATCAAGCCCACAACCCGAGCATGTGCCCTGATTGGGAACTGTACCAGTGACCTCTTGGTGCATGGGTTCACGCTGGGCTGGACTCCATCTTGACTGAAAAAATCCATCTTAGAGGCCTGACTATGACTCCTTGCTTTCAGTATCAAATTAATCTAACCACATCCTTAAAGAAAAGATTGTAAAAAACATTCTTCCTTAATATCATGTTCTGCAAAATGGTTGTTTTATACAGGACCACTGAGTGGTCCACTGACCATGGAAAACATCTTATGACTACCCAGGATCAACCACCAGATGGCAATCATGGGACAACTGACCTCATCCTCATTCCCAAACCCTGCACCCACCCCTGGCTCCTATATGAGCATTCCACGAGAAACCTCAGGAAGCTCAACTTCTCTTTTCTGGTTGACTCCCCTGTGCACAAGCTCTTTTCAATAAACTCTATCTGCTTGATCCTGTACTGAGTTTAGTGCACATTTCTATGACATTGAGACTCAAGAACCTGGCATTCAAGGTCCAGTAACAAGAAACCATGTGGCCCTAACCGGTTTGGCTCAGTGGATAGAATGTCAGGCTGCAGACTGAAGGGTCCCAGGTTCGAGTCCGGGCAAGGGCATGTACCTTGGTTGCGGGCACATCCCCAATAGCGGAGGTACGGCTAATTACCATGTTTCTCTTTTATTAGATAGGATATATTTTATTGATTTTTTACAGAGAGGAAAGAAGAGGGATAGAGAGTTAGAAACATCGATGAGAGAGAAACATCGATCAGCTGCCTCCTGCACGCCCCCTACTGGGGATGTGCCTGCAACCAAGGTACATGCCCTTGACCGGAATCGAACCTGAGACCCTTCAGTCCACAGGCCGACGCTCTATCCACG